TCAAGAGGGAGAAAAGGCTGGAGGACAAGATGACACATCAGGCTGTGGCACAGACAGCCCTAAGGGACTGTCTGGAGGAGGTGAAGGAGGAGAAGGAGCTGATGCAGCAGGTACAGAAGAGGTGCAGCAGCCTGATGATGGAGGATCTTTAGCATCAACGCTTAGCAAATTGAAAATGATGATGAAAACCAATGAAGGATATGTTGGACAAGAGCCTCAGTACTACCACTATGTACCACCAGCTCACTGTCGAGTAAAGCCACACTTCCAGTTTTTGCTGTTCATGAAAGCCTCTGAACAGTGTCAGAGCAAAGATGAAGACGATGAGGAAGAGACACAAGAGGAGAACAAGGCTGAAGAAAGTCCAGAACAGACAGAGAGCGGTGTGACAGAGTGCAAAACTGAAAAGGAACATGGCAATGTTACTGTAGATGCTGACCCAGACCTAGTTCCTCTATCAGCTAACGTAAAGGCAGAAGAGGAGACCCCTTCATGTGCAGAAGATGCAGCTCCTGCTGTACCAGCTTCACCCACCCAGAAAGGAGAGACGCGTGATACTGTGGATACAAACGCTGGTCCGAAAATGCCCACTGGTCCCTTCTTTCCAGTCCTGAGCAAAGATGAGACTACAACCCTGCAGTGGCCATCAGAGCTCCTTGAATTTACAAAAGCTCAACCTTCCCTGTCTTACAGCTGCAATCCCCTCTACTTTGACTTCAAACTGTCCCGTAACAAAGGAGTGCGTGGTGGGAAAGTGGCAAAGTCCCCCAAGCCTGGTGAAGACACTGATGACAAGGGACAAGAAGTGAATGCTTCACCATCTGAAGTAGAAATGGCTACTAAACCTGGAACTAGTGCTGACAAAGACAAGCTAGTGTCAAAAGGAGAGTCTGGGCAGCCAGAAAGTGAAGAACAAAAGCCCACAAGTGGAAGTAATAGTGCAAAGAAAAAAAAGAAAAAGAAGAAGCATAAGAAGTCTGCAAAGCATTCAAAACGCAAAGGAAAAGAAAAAGGAGCGAGAGAAGATGCAGAAGGTGAGACTGAGGTAACACAAGAAAAGCCCAAAAAAAAGAAAAAACACAAACGTAAGAAGAGCAAAAACAAGGCTCAAGATCAAGCTGAGGCAACAGGTGAAGAAAAGGAAAAACCTAAACCAAAGTCGGAAGATAAAGCTGCTACCTCCTCTGTACAGCTGACAACTGGAGGGGAAGGAGCTACAGGAGCAGAACTGGGGAAGAGGAAACGTGGTGCTAAGGAAGTGCCTTGCAAATCTGGAGCAGAAGGAGGGAATGGAAAAAGTACTGACAAGGCCAACTCATCTGAAGAGCACAGTGGCAACAAAAGACAAAAGACTGACACCAGTGCATCTCAAAGTGCCTCGTGCTCCACCTCAGCCCAAAAGAGTCCTGGCTCTGGTAGACCTCCGAGCAGTGAAAGTGAAGAAGGGGGCTCTAATACCCAGCGCTCACGTCATCACAGGTCAAGCCCAAGGGAACAGCGCCGCCACCATAGTGAAGAATCAGGGCGATCCTGCAGCCGTTCATCGAGACGGGGGGAACGACGAGGTAGCAGTCGCCGACGTCATCGTGGCCAAACCTCCCGTAGTCGCTCTTATTCCAGCAGCTCTGAGCGCTCCTCAGCAGGCAGCAGTGCCTACAGCCACCGTAGCCGAAGCTACTCAGACAGCTACAGCGACTATAGCACAGAAGGTCGCAGACGTAGGCGCTCCAAACGTTCATCCGACTCAGAGTATGACCGCAGGAGTAGCCGAGGACGTAGACGATCCAGGAGGCATCAGTACACATCTTCCTCTTCAGAAGACTCACGCTCACGTTCACGCAGCTACAGCCGCAGGAAGAGGCACAGACGGCATCATCGGAGCAGCTCCAGAAGCTCCAGCAGCTGGAGTCGCAGCACTAGTGCAAGATCCTGGAGGCGGAGCTACAGTCGTAGCTACAGCTCTGCTAGCCGCTCCTCCAGTTCAAATAAAGGGTCTCCTCACAGGCGAAGCACTAGGGGTCGAGAGGATAGTGACACCCATCGCAGAGACTTCAACCGCTCACGCATCTACCGCTCCCAGTCTCCACGGTCTTCTTCTTCACGAGGCCTTAACCGTAACACCCATTCATCCAGCTCGCTGGGTCTGAGACCAGGGGGGTCTCGAGATGCAGGAGAACAGAAAAACACTCTAACTGCACGACAGCTGTTGGAGAAGGTTCAGTCCAAGAAAAGCTCTGAAGATTCTACCACAGGAACAAAATCTGGGATTAAGATTAAAGACCCACCGCAGGGCTATTTTGGCCCAAAACTACCCCCATCCCTTGGAAACAAAGCCATGCTTCCACTAATTGGTAAGCTGCAGGCAGGGAAAAAGCCAGCAATTCCTTTAATCAGACCTGAAGAGGGAGAGAAATCAGGGACGGGGAAGAGCTCTGAACCTGAAGGAGAGGTTATATTAGTAGAGCCTATAAGGGAGTTCCCACCTCCACCACCACCTCCAGCTCCACCAGTTCAGAAGGTTGAGGAAGCCCCACAGAGCACAGTGACTCAAGAAGAGACACAGCAGCCTGCAACAGAAGACCAGGGGCACCAAGAAACCCGGCCAGTATTTGAACAAGAGCCCTCCATGATGATGCCCCAGTACCAAGGAGAGTCAGGACAAGACCTTTCCCAGAACCAAATGATGGAGTCCATGATGCCTGAAATGCAGCAGCAGCAGGCTGCCATGCATGCCTACCCTGGTTACCCACCGCCCAGCTTGGAGGAGGATGGCATGGAGGCAGAGGAGGATGGACTGGCTCCTTTGGAAAGTCAGCCAATTACATTCACACCAGAGGAGATGGAGAAATACAGCAAGCTGCAACAGGCTGCACAACAGCATATTCAGCAGCAGCTTTTAGCCAAGCAGGTCAAGACTTTTCCCTCAGCTGCTGCAGCAGCCGCTGCCGCAGCAGCTGCCACTTTGGCCCCAGCGCCCCCTCCACCAGCCCTGCAGCAGATCCATATTCAGCAGCCAACTGTGTCCGTAGCTTCTGGCACATCCATCACCACAGTGCAACACGCCATCCTTCAGCACCATGCAGCCACTGCTGCGGCAATGGGCATCCACCCAGCTCATCCCCACCACCCACATCCGGCACATGCCCAGCTGGCCCAGGTACATCACATTCCCCAGCATCACCTTACCCCCATCTCCCTGTCTCCTTTGGGGCCATCACTTGGTCATTCTCTGGGACACTCACTGGGGCATGCAGGATTGATCCCTGCCCACCCAACAGCCTTCCTCTCTGGTCAGCCAATACATATTATCCCTGCTTCTGCACTTCATCACACCCCCTTAGCTCTCCACCATGTTCCACACACAGCCCTCTACCCCACACTTTTCACACCCCGACCCTCACAGGCTGCAGCAGCAGCAGCGCTTCAGCTCCACCCACTCTTACACCCAATATTCTCAGGACAGGACCTCCAGCACCCCCCTAACCACGGCTCTTGAAAACAAATGAAAATGAAGTAGTGTGTTCACAACAACCAACCACTAAATGAAAGACTTAACCTGAACTCTCTTGGTTTAGGGTTTTAAATAAAGTCTTTGTTACATCATGCAGGCTGTAAGATGTGGATCTTATGAGAACTTTACTGGCCTTCACAGTGCAGCACGTCACCACAAAGTGGTTAAGACTGCTGGGTTCAAAATCAACACTAACATTTTCTTCTGGTACATGTGAGATTTTTATTTTCTCATTTTTTCAGATTTGTTTCTCCCCCCTCTACAAACTGTAGACACTTCCTCTAGACCATTGGTTTATATTCCAATTTGGGGAATAGTAACAGCCTCAGAAACTACTGGAGTTTTTTGTTGTTTTTTTTGCTTATTTTGGCAGCCAAAGAGATACATGATGGCTAAAGGTGTAAGCAGAATCGTGTTACGATTCAAGGAAGTGGTTTTGTTCTAGAGGTGAACATTTTAATCTGTGTAATCTAATTTTCAGAGATGGACTCTTTCATGATTACTGATCTCTTGTTGTGTTTTCAAATGACTACTCACTCTCTATTGGATTCTTGGTTTAAAAGTAATTTGTAATGCAGTAACTTGTACATAGGTCAGTGTGTAATGTGAAGAAACCCACCAGTGACAGCCATATGAAAAAACAAAACCGATATGGTGTCCAAACAAGTATGACACTGTCATACAAGAAGCCCTCTCTAAATCAGGGGAAATGTGATGAAGGGGTGTAAATCTCCTGAATACTCTGAAGCAAAGCTCTTGTTCCCTGGGATGAGGGTACATCTGAATCAATTGCACTGAAATCTGTACATCAAGATGGTGCCTGTGCATCATATAATAAGATTGTAGTATACTGCAATAATTGTATTTTTCTGTTTTTTAAATTATTTTCCAAAATGCTCTCCAAAAGAAGAGCTGTGTTTGGCTTTTTTTGTGTGTAATTTTGTAAATAAAACTGCTGTAGATTAACCTATTAACGTTCTACTGGGTTGACACTGCTGTTGGGGGGAGGGGAAAAAGCAGACAAATGACAAATTGGATGGGAGGTGGACACATGTATTTTATCACGGTGGTTTGTTCATCCCTGCTGGGGTGCCAAACAGCAGTGACCTGTTTAAAAAGAAAAGTAGCAACTCTGTATTTTTTAAAGACTTAACTCTGTTTCACCAAATAAAATCCTGAGTTTGTGTGTCTTTTTCCATATTTTTTTCATTATTGAAATTGCCATGTAAATAACTGTAGATGGTCACATGAAGGTCCTGCCTTATTTCCATAAGCTTCATCTGACAGTCAAACAACCCCTGCAGATGTAAATGTCCAACAGTAGATGGTGCTGGAGTTACCTGGAATAGGCTTCGCGAAAACAGTCAATCCGTGTGAATGCAGCATGCATTTAGTGTATCTGTTCACAGGCTATGATTAATACTGTTTACTGTAAAAGGGGAAACAGTCCTGTCAGCACTTGCAGAACCATTACACGAGGCTGTAGAAAGAAAATTATAGATTTAATTTCTTTAAAATCACTCACATAGTGAGACGAGACCAAGAATAAATGAAAGAAAGCATGTGACAGAAAGGGGCTGCTTCCATTGATTTTCTTTGAACTATTACCTACATATATTATCAGTTCCCAGCTTATTAGGTACAGCTCGCTAAACCTAATGAGGCTGTCCACTAAGTCCTGCCTTAATACAGGATATAATGTTTGTGTTGAAAGTCTCTAATTTTCTGGTCATTGTGCCTAATGTATTAGAATTGTATGGCATCAACTCGATCCTACTTTGTCCACTACATTAGACTGTATTGACCAGGTGCAGCTAATAAGCTAGTAACTGAGTTTACACCATAAAACAAGAATTTCTGGTGAGAATTCTTAAGTTGCATTGTGATGAAACACTGAACATAACATTTTCGTACTTGTATTTCTTTAAAAACCATGTTTATCAAGGCGGAAGAACACTGACGGCAACTTGAGGAACAGTTAAGTATTTATAAGAAACCATCTGTGTAAAATCACAGGAGAAATTTACAGTTTCAAAGTGGTTTTGGTAAAAATGGAAAGTGGCACACTGAGCTTCACATGGATTAAAAATACTGTCTGTAGTTTAAGGTCTTTGCCAACGTCACCATTTTATCAATAAACATGATGGAAAGCCATTAAAAGAAAACTAAATGTAAGGGAACAACTTATGAAAGTTGGTTTTAATGTTAGAAATTCATATCATGAGGGACGATGTGCTGCAGAAATGTCCACGACTGATCAAAAAGCCGCCCTTGTGGATGGTTGGAGGTCAGCCCAGGTATCTGATTACCAGGAACATGAAGACGCAGGTCAGCAGCATGCCTCCAATCATGATGAACTTATCTTGAGTGGCTCGCCTTTCTATAAGTCTCATCACTGTGTTTGACAGCCCCAACATGTTAGCCACATCCAGCATCTTCTTATGAGTTCCCTGTGCAGAGCCAAAACAGCCACACTCATTTCAACAGTAATGATCACATGTGACAGTTTATAAGAGCCATAAATAAACGAAATGTTTCCATGACCACATTGTAATTATCTCCACTAATTCCTCTGATTTTGAGAGACGTTGAGTGCCAACGCCCTCCCTGACGCGCCACTCCGTCAGAGGTTTCTCATGGCTAGACAACCAGGCTGAGAGTGCTGATCAACAGACACACCCTGATAAGAAGAGGCCTGAAGCAAAACCAGGAAGCCCATCTCCTCCTTGGAAACACAGACTCGCCCTCTGAGCATGAGCACACTAACAATACGACTATTGTGATCGTCGTGGACACCAGAAAGTGGGTCAGGAAATTTAATTCAGTCCACCTTCTATTCCGCTTCCTTGTTTAACAAATGGTTTAAATAAGCTACAGATGTAGACTTGTTTTTCTGCTGTGTTAAATCACTAACCTTTAGCGTAGATCTCTGATCTCTGAGACCATTAAGGATGCTGCTGCCACTGCCGATGAGGTCATCAATGCCTCTGTGTGCATTGTGCAAGTTGGAGTTAAACTGTAGGGTCTCATCTATGGGGATGGAGGTATCTGCGTCCTATTAAACAAAAGGAATCTCTGTAATTTACACAAACTCTAGATTCTTTTTTTAGCTTAAAATGTTGCATTCACATCAATACCCATCACCAGTTTGATCACTATTAGACAATTTACATACATTCGTGGTGAAGGTGCGGCTCATGAGTTCCTCCCTCTCTCTCTCCTGGGCCTCTCTCGCATAGCGTCTGTGCTGGAAATTTTGCAGGGCACTCCGGAGGTGCTGGACATCATACTTGAGCTGGTCCACTCGTCTGAGAGAAAGAAAAGGATTCAACTGTGTCCAGTTTTACAACTACAACAAACATTTTCCAATTTAAAGTTGAGGGTCCCTGCAAATCTTTACAAAGCAATCCAGTCACCTCAAAGAGTAATCTATAGAGATTTCAAATGCATTTTTGCCCACTGTGGGAGGTAACAGGCTACTTGGAGTTTTTGAACACTTCTCAATTTAAGCTTGCAGTTCCTATAATGTGCAAGTGCTATAGCCAGGGTGTGATTTGTCAGGGAGGGATTTCTCCCACTCTGGTCTACACATCCCTGTCTCTGCTAAATAATTTTTCATCCCTGGCAGGGGAAAACAATGTATTCCTCCCTCTGACTTTTAGCACCGCATCAGCCAAATCAGGAACTGACTTTCAGCACTCAAGACCCTGTTACAGTAAGGTTCACACTGCATGGAGTGGATGATCATTTCATTAAACCAAATCCTGCTGGGTTTTTTAGTAAAAATTATTTTTAACTAGATAAAAGAAATTAACCAGATTCTGTGTTGGGAGACTCACAAAAGTTACATATGCAACTATGCACCAGGCTGCTGTCTGTCGACATCCTCGTTAAATTGTACCAAATAAATAAATAGAATCAGCTGATTATGAAGAGGACAGGAGAGGAACTTTTAACAGATTTGAGGAATTTAATGTACTGTCTCTCCACCCTTGTTTGACAGTGGTGCTAACTCTTACTGCACCCTGTTTTTTTTTTTTTCACAATTCAGTGTATCAGCAGTTGTACTGAATAAGGAGAACATTTATTTTGCTCTCAAATCTTATGTGCTTGTTTTGAAGAGTCCCCACAACCCCCCACCCCCTTCCCCTCCCTGAGTTCACTCAGGCCCCACCAGAGACCTGCTAAGATTAAAGGAGCGCTGTGGAATGGGGTGCACTGTCCCCCCTAAGGCCTGTTTATCCAGCTCAGAAATGAATCTTTGCCCAATGCAGCAGGAATGCTGGTGATGACGGGGGCTTCTGAGGAAATGTTTTCACAGAGCCACGTTGCCACAGGGCAGGACGCGGCTGCCTCTTCATCATCTAACCCTCCTTCTGCCTTTATTGCATATGATACATCCAGCTGTTTCTGTGTCTTTATGGTCACCGTCTATTGTTTAAATCCAAACTCACAATTTGGCATTCTGGCGGCGGTTTGGCGGTTCCTTGCTGGCCAGGATCTCAAGGCGTTCTAAATGATTGAAGATCTGGTCGATTCTAGCTTGCAGTTCATTTTCTAACACTTGTAAAACAGAGAGAAATGAAGAAGAGAGAATTGCAGGGAAGACATCAGTTAAGGCTGTGAAATTACAATTCATAATTTTGAAATTTACTGGCTAATTTACTTACATACTGAATTGATTCAAACATGTCTTCCAATATATATAAAGAAAAGAGTGTGGGATGCTGTTTGTCTTCTAATAATATACCCAGGTGTCACAGGGTAGCATTCATCACTTAAGCGACCCCAGCTCATTAGTAGCTGCGTAAGTTTACATCCTCCCCTGGGGTTAAAATAAACCTTATGTCATCATTTGTGAAGGGGAGTTCACTGCCCGGCTCCCACCATTATCTGCCATACCACCCACCCTACTACTTCCTGTCTTGGCAACAGCTGGGCACAGAACTGAACGGCCAGGCACTATCCACAGAAAACAATTAGCTCTGGCTTTTATCATTATATATGTGAGAGGAAGAAGCAGCCATAACAAGGACCCGGTTCTGAGCAGAAATTAGAAGCTCTTCAAAGGGGATTTCATCAGAGGTGGTGCCATTAGGAATGACAGCTTTGTACCACAACAACACTCCCACACAGAGCAGGGGCAGAGCCCCTTACAATCATGACAGCTGGTCACTTACAATGAACTGACTGGCGGTCTGTCTTTTCCAGATTTCCCATTAGAGACTGAACCTCCTGGATTTGCCTAATCCACAACGATCATACCGTTAGTGAGCAGCAATAAAAACAATTTTTGTTTTAATTATTACTGTACATGAACATATTGGTATGCGCCATATTTATAGTTTAATAATCGTATTATGCTGATATAAGCCTGCTGCAGCAGAAGTAAAAGTGATAATAAGTTAGGCTCATTAGCAGTGGTAGCTAACGGGCACCGTTTCCACATCAGACAAGAGAACTCACTTGTTGGTCTGGTGGTAAAGCGTCTCCATTTTTCCCGATCTAAGAAACGCTTCGCCCTCCCTTTACGTTATCTCGTTATTTTTGTTATAATAGTTTTAATTGTGACAAGCGGCTCTGTTAGCTTGGTAGCTAACGTTAGAGGAGTTTACACGTCATCAGCGGAGCTTTTGTGTACGGAACTAGGAAACCGGAAGCCGCGCGACGTCATCACACAGAGAGAAATATAGAAGAGAGCTCACTCCTTCTTAATTACACATCTCTGTCAGCAGACTGTAAGAGGAGTGTTTTTATTGCGGTTTTTAATGTTTTAAATAAAAATCTTTTTTTAAAAAGTGACGAAATGAACACACCCAGAATACCCCTGCTCCTCTATTTATATTGACCAAAAGTGGAAAAAGACATAGATAGACATAGATTGTGGATTGCACAACACTGGTCACTACATTCTTCATTTCCGGTTAATACTTGTACAGCTGCTGTTATTGTGTATATATTTATTTATATTTATATTTCTTCATACATTCTTATATAGTTCTATATTGTGTATTTTGTTGTACAGTTATTTTATTTTCAACTTTAATTTATGTATTTTATCTTATTCTTTCCCAGTTAAATTTACCCTTCATTCTAATTTGTGTTGTACAGTTATTTCATTTTTAACCTTAATTTATATTTTATTCCTTCCTAGTTAAATTTACCCTTTTTAATTTTTCATATTTATTTCCTATCTTATTCATAGCCTTTTCCTTTTTTGTTTTCTTTAGGTCACGAGCAGTTGTCCAAGCATTTCACTACATATCGTACTGTGTATGACTGTGTACGTGACAAATAAAATTTGAATTTGAATTTGAGATAATATACGACAAATACTGCATTAACAGTGAAATGAAGACGCTTTATTTTTTCAGTGTCCAGGATATACCATGTAAAGCATGTCATGGAAAGGTTTATACTGTATTACTGTATATTGATTATTCATGTGATTTAAGTGTTGTTGTTTATATATATATATAATATTTTATGTTAATTAATTCACTTGTTCAAATCAAATTGGATGCACTACTGTACCTGGAATACTGGTACAGTCTATTTCATAATTGTCAAAGGTTAATATGTAATACATTTTATTTTTCCTGTTCTTCTCTTAGTATTATGTTTTATGCATTCCCCCGGCACTTTGTTCACCTCTTTTTGATTGGAAGCCTTTTCATGTACTGATACTTTTATTATGTCACTGTTTATGTTTCAGAAAATTTTATGGGAGAAAAGACTGCTCACTCCTCCTCAATTTTGGACGCTGAAAATGTAATCCCTTACGTCTACCAGTCTTTTTAATTCCTAAAATTATATTCCCAAAATATATTTATAATATATTATAATGTTATATTTATATACAATAATGTTATAGTTTTATATTTTTTTAATGTATTTTTGCTTTAATTTTACTCTTTTTTGTGTGTGTTAAATTCCGTTTAGTTCCAGTTACTTTTGTTACTTTTATATATTTTTAAAATATTATTTGTTATGATAGTACATAAATAATGATAATAATAAATATATGACACAAGATAGTATAGTAACACAAAATGTTGGGAATACAGTTGGCTCACAGACTCAAGCTCAGTAAATATATAGAACATTTCGATACAATACAGCTTTAGAAAACAAGAATCATGACTGACTACAAAACAAAGGGTAATTTCTTTTTGCCAGTTGGACTGAACAATAGTCATGGGTACTCAGTGAAAATCTCAGAGAGAAAACTGTAGATTTACACAAGTTGGAAAGGTCTGTTGGACAGAATTTCTAAAGGACTGCAAAATGATTCTCAGCATTATTGTAGAGTCTTTATTTTACAACATAAAGTGTGTTGAGCGGACTATTTTTTTTAATTTTTAATTTTATTTCGTGCTACATAAATAAAACTACGTTGAATTGAATTGAGTCAAATGGAACTGAATTCCTGCACTGTATCTTTGGAGGACTAAAGGTGAGGCTTTCAAACCTAATAACTCTGTTATTAGGTGTCAATCTGGTGGGGGTCATGGTCTTAGCCAGTTTTGCTTTTGGTGCTACATTGCACAAAGAAGATGGAATAGCTGAGGAAGAAGACAACCTCTAAATTCTTCAACTTCACCTCAATTATGGTTTTGGAATGGATAAAGCAGGTTATTCGCTTCTGAAATGACCTTCACAAAGACCCAACTTCAACCCTATTCAAAATTTGTGTACTTCAAAGTCAGGTTTGTGCCAGGAAATCAACCAATTTTAATGAACTCTACCACTTCTTCTAGGAAGCGTCGTCAAATATCCAGGCAGAATTATGCACGAAGCTTGTTGATGGCTTGCAAAAGCCTGGTTATCGTGCAACTTGCTAAGAGACATTTAGCCATACACTATTAGTGGGAGTGTATAGATATATTTGAGCCTGTAAGTATACTTTTGACCGTGTGGTTTATCCAAATTAAATTCAAACTTATGAACTCAATTCTTGTTTGTTTTTTTCAAAGGTGTATGCCGTACAATCATTGCACTCTGTAAAAATAAAAGTTCAAAGTAACCACAAAAGGCCAAAAATTACCATGACATTCATGCTTATGATGAATGTATGTAAACATCTGACCATAAGTGTACATAAATAACGTGAAAACCGGGCATGAAACTCCTGTTTCTGGACAGGCTGTAATTGGACAATGCTAAACTCCCAACGTATAAATCTGAGCCTTAGGCTACATTTTCCATTGCATTTGATATTCTTTTAGGACACAGGTCTTTGGCCTACAAAGACAAGCTTTGAGAAGATACAGCATAATCTGTTGACACGTAGACATGTCACAGGAAAGACTCTAAGAAACATGTCCTAAGGCGAGCTTTTGTCAGCTCTCCCTGACTAGGTCTAATTAGGCCATCCTCTTTTTCCACAGTCAGGTGTCAGAGTGTTCCTGTTTGTCCACCCAGAAGCTGTTCTCCTCTTCTTGCCTGCAGCCAGAGTCACCAAAACTAATATTATTAAACTTCATAGTGAGATTACAATTCACAAACACTGAAGAGAAGATGTCAGATTTGCCAGCCACAAACTGGCTCTGTCATGGAGTAGGGTGTGAAAAAACTGTCTAAATTTCACAATAGTTCCTTGGTGATTTATTATGAGGAAAGCACCTTGGAGCGCTGCCTGGCGCCTTAATAAAACCACATCTCAATCACCCTATACATACCCTCCATCAGTGTGGTGTCTACCTGTTAGGGAAGAAAGAATAAATGAGTGCAAGGGAAAGCAAGGGAAACATAAACATTAACATACTTTGTGCTCCTGTTTGGAGGTGATACCTGTATTTGTTTTCCTCATTCAGCACAGCAATCAGAAGTTGGCCCAGACACTTTTCCACGGCTGCCTGATGCTACATGAGTTGATGGTTGTATCTTCAGGCAAGACACTTCTGAACAGAGGTCCTTTTCACCCACCCCCACATGTCAGAAATCTTGAGATCTGTTCATGCCACTTCTTGCTCTTGCAGTTCACCATTTTTGGTTGTCATAACATATCCTCGGGGTAGTGGCTGGATGCGTACGGCTTTAACCTGTTGCTCAGAATAGACAAGAAGTAGCGAGAAGGAGGAATAAACCCTCTTAAACCATTTCTGAGCAATACATGAGGCACATCTCTGGAGGTCGTGGGGTTCTCTCCGTCTGTCCTTTATGTTTCAGCCCTGAGGAAAGGATGAGATGAGCTTACTGGTTTTCATCCACACCTGATCACCACGGGCGCAAACTGGAATCCAGACTCCAGGTGTGGAGCCTTGATCACTTTGACTGAGCGAGTTAGCGCAAACTGTCACTGTCATACCTTAATACACATGTCTATGGAGCACAGCTGGTGTAACATTCATCCTTTTCTCCCATTTTAATTAATTTTCTTGTAATTTTAAGGAATTTGGATGATGATACAGAACAGAATTATTTTATTGAGATACTGCTTTAGAAGAAAACTGTATTACAATTTTGTTACGTACTTCTGCTTTCTACAGCACTACAATATTTACCCTCAGTTGTAGTATAAAGTAACAGATAACTGAACTACTGAGGGGTAATGTATAGATTTTACTGCACAAAAGTGTTTGCATAGTATTGTGGAAAACCTTTATATTTGGCAAAGAAAACAGGAAACATACATAAAAATACAGTAAATAAGAAAAAAAAAATTGTTTGCAAAATACTGATGAGCTTGAAAAGTACAATTTAGAATGACCACCTTTATTTCTTAAGGTAGCCAGAACTCTCTTTTGTAATTTCTTTAACTAGTCTTTAGGACTCGTTCTCAAGGTTTCTTTTTCCATTTTTCTTAAGGGCATGACTTTCAGATACTGCTCATCTGATGTACATACTTTTTATACATACATTTTCCTCCACTTGTTGTGAATCCTCAATTTTTTTAAGAACACGTTGCACACCATGCCGAAAAACGCCAAGTTTACAACAAATAATTCTTTTGGAATCACCTTGTTGGTTCAAAAATGCTATTTCCCGTCAAACTGTGTTGTGTTTGGCATTTTTCACAGATTCACCTAAATAATGGGAAATAATTTAGTGTTTTTATGACACAAACAAAGTGTCTAAAGATACAATTTCTAATTGGTTCACTACTAAGTTGTCTGTTATGTGTAGAGACAACACTGATTTATCACTTTGAGTCCAAATAAAACTCTAAAAGTCCTTCAGGAAGCCTTCTCACGACCATTGTAAAAATTTCTGGCTACTTGGAAGCAAAATACAACATAAAGAAATGCGAGGTGGCTCAAGACTTGTATGTTAACAATGATTTTAAGAGAAGCACGGGTATGTATTAAATATATTTATATGAGAACATGCATGTATGTTGCTGCTTTGTTGTTAGGAATGTGATTTATCTTAGCCCCTTTGGAGGTCTTGTAACCAAACAACATTTAGTGCTGCATCAGTCTCCCTGCACTGCTTAGAAAACACAGCAGCCTGGTTATTGTTCAGTAGAGAAATGAAAGCACTGGATGTGCTCAGAGACTTACCCCCCACCCCCGCACCCCAACACTGTTTTGTTCATCAAGGGAAAATGATATGTTATTGAATCACTTCCCTACAATGTACTTAATGATGTTTTCCAGGCAGTATAACACATCATAACTCTACAATGATTGCCCAAGACAGACACAGTGAAGAAGCCAA